ATCTAACCCTTCAAAAGAAGAGGCGCAAGTTGGTGAGTTGAACAGATCTGGTGTTTCGATTGCACGGCGGTTCATTGTATAGCCTAGGGAAGCTACGATGTCACGTCTTCACTCTGAAACGAGCTGGTGGAATCCTTCGTGTTTTGCAACCTACGTTTCCCAATGCGTTCCCAATGATTTTTTTTTGCCTTCCGGCCTATGTGTCCGCAGACGACCGACAAGAGCAGGCACTACCTCTGCGAAATCGACTGCAAACACTCGGGGGTGGCGCGTAGGCGTGCGCCCCAAGTGGGGAAGCATAAGAGGATGCGGAACAGTAATATGGTGCGTAGCATTTTCTGAGGCTGTTGATGTTCAGAGCCGGAGTTCGCTGCGAGACTTTCGCGGGAGAGTGCGTCGGCCCCCTTTCAACACGCGTCGCGGGATACCCACATCTCTTGCGACGCATGTCCTGTGACTGTTCGTGGTGCAGATCAAGTGCCCTTTGAAGATCCACATGACGTGGCGAGTTGGGGCGACTAATCCCACCATAACGTCGGTGAGGACGGGGTAGCCTATGTGCTCGTATCGTACCTTGCCCTTAGTTCCTGCCGCTTTGACGGCTACGTGACCTATTTGGGGTACCTGTCTTCGTGGTTGACGTGTTTTCTTCGGGAAATTGTCGCCGTTCTTTTATCATTCTTTTATTGTCGTTTATTCGTTTCGTTTCGTTTTTTGTGGTGTCGTCATCCGTTACTCCGTGTTTTTGACTCCAACGAGTATTCTTTCGCCGTATTTTCTGATTTCCTTTTGATGTGACCGTCGTTCGTTCGACACGCTCGTGTGCATGCCAAGCGGGCGCCTCTCTGCGTATCCAAATACCAACCCTAAGGCCACACGAAGTATCTACTTGAGCCGTGCGTCATGATGACAAGCCCCGTCGCTGCCGTCAGGAAATCCCGTTTTCCCAGTTCTGACGGGCGTAGTTGCCGTCCTTGACGTTCCCGGTGCCGTTTTTGCCGTTTTTTGCGGCGGTTCTTGCGCGTTTAACGTTCGTTTTTGATGCGCGCTGGTCCTTCTGCAAGCACAACCACATTCCCCGGGGGAGCATCTCAAGAGTTCAGGCTAAAGTCCTGCCGCCCACAATGGTCGACGAGAGATTCGATGACGTCCGCAAGTGGACGGCGACTGGCGTCAAACCCACGGACATGTTCAACCTGCTGGAAATGGACGACGACGGTTTGTGCTTGGCGAAAGACGGGAAGAAGNCCGTGCTTGGCGATCATGGGGTGTGTATGTCTGACAGGTGGAATCGCCCCCGATCACAAAAATCGCGCGAAACCGAACCAAAGCTATACTGTTACACTACGACGTGGGTGTTAAATGTCCGTTGATAATTGGCCAACTTCCTGCAGATTCCGAACGTTTTCCGAACCCTCCAAGGTGTATAACGCCATAAACAAGATTCTAAACGAGTTGTACTCCACGCCTGAGGATAGCGCCAATTTCCTCACGAAGTTGGAAGCTGAGCCCGGGATGTTCGTCAAGCGCACTTTCGATAGCCTAGGGAGGATCGTTGATGTGTTCTGGGCCACCGTCGACCAACAGGACAAGATGGCGACGTTCGGCGGCTGTATCCAGATGGATACTACAGTGTTCACCAACAGGTACCGTACGATCTGCTCCGTTTCAACCGACCTCGTTGCTGTCGTTTCGAGTTGCCCTCTGTCTGTTGACCTTCGGTTGTCCTTACCTACGACCCGCCTCCCGCGTGCGCACGCCACACCTTTTATCTTCGTTCGTTATCTGCAGGTACGGGTGCCCACTCCTGTTCATAGTGGGCGTGGACGACGAAAACCGCATGTGCGTCTTGAGGCAGGGCGTGCTGCGGTCGGAAAGCACCAAAACCTTCAAGTGGTTCTTGGACTCGTACGAGGAAGCTGCTGGTGGACGGAGGCCAAAGGTTACCTGAACCCTGTAGACGTTTGGAGCCTAGAGCTGTCCATGGTGGGCGTGGCCGTATTTTTGACATGCGCAGTTGCCAGCTCCGGAGTCGACAACGCGTATCACATGTCCATTCGCACCTCCTTGTGTCTACGCCGACTTAGTACTTCCCCTACACGATACGCCAATGAAATAATGTTGTGGGGGCGTGTGTGCCTTCGTCTCTCCTTTCGTGCCGGATTCGTATAGGTCATGCTGACCGACGCAGACCAGGCCCATGGCCGCGGCCTTGAGGGAGTGGAAGACCACCGTGCACCTGTGGTGCTTGTGGCATCTCAACAAGAACGTGGTCAAGCACTGTTCCTCGTCCTTTTCTGACACAAGACACGGGAGAAGATGCTCCGTCTATTCAGAAACGCTGCGTACGCCGCTACGCCGGAGGTGAGATTAGTGTGGGCTGCAGTTGCTTCTTATCTTGCGTCCTTCATGTTCTGCATTGCAGCCTCTGCCCCGACTACGTGAGTAGGTGATTTATCCTCGGCCACCTCGATCGTACGTTCGTTGCAGGCCTTCGCTACGTACCGGGCTGACCTGGAGAGGACCGTCAGGGGCAAGAAGTGCCACCAGTACATCCGGGACCTTCTCGAGTAGGTAATGGTGCCGTATATACTATCTTGCGCACGGGGAAACGTGGATGTTCAACTTACAGACGGCAGGGATAAGAAGGAAAAAGGAAACCGGAAAACTCTCCGAACTTCTCTCCCGTTGGCAGTATTGGCTGGCGCCAACACTTTCGAGCTCTTCCGGGATCGGGGCGAGAAAACCCTCCATTACTTGCCGAGTTCCTGTCCATCTTGCCGCCGAGTTCCCGTCCATCTTGCCGCCGCCGTGCGGTACAAGCTCACGCCTTCACGGCCAGGCCATGTTGTGGTATTCGGCCCGGGTGGCTTCTACTTGTGCTCTTGTCTGAAGCTTTTGCGCCACGGCCTACCACGTAGGCACTACTTTGCCGTGCTAGTTCGCTTCATCGGCGGGAAGTACGAGGGAGTCCTGCTTTACCACGAGTTCGACGGCAGCAGCGTGCGCGCACGCTGGTGCCAATCACCAGACGGCAGCGACGCGCCCTGGACCGTCTCCAGAGTGTTGGAAGGGGCAGGGCACGGTGACGACTGGGATGGATATCGACCACGGCCAAGACGACAACTTCTGGGGACCGACGTACGACGACGGCGGCGGGGAGGGCGGCGTGCACCCCGCAGAATGTGCGGTAAAAGCAGCCGCGGAAGGATCGGCGAGTGACCATCGCCGCGTGTTCGCGACTCTGATGGCCAATAACAAGGAAAACGTCGCCGAAATAATGAGGACGGTTCCACACGCCAAAGCCTTGGAGATACAGGCTGAACTGGACAAGTGGGTGAGGTTCCAGCTTGCCGAAGCTACCGGCGAGAACAAGAGCGGTAATTCAGCGCAGGTAAAAGCGAAAGGGAGGCCTAAGAAATCCAAGTCGGAGGGTGCAAAGCAGGACCGACACGATGACAACGGTGCGCCTGCCGACAGCGGGTCTGTTCAACCAGTCGGTAACCCGGAAGGGCGAAGGGACAAGAGCCGGAGAGAAAAGAGGATCAAAGACGTCTCTGGTGCCGGGTCTGGAGCACAGACCCGTCGACCTACCAAAGGGAAAACGTCGGAGCGTACGACACGTAGTCCCTAGTAACAAATCAACGGCCGGGACACACAGATAGTTCGAATCGTGTGCCGCCCTTGTCATCTCGTTCCCGGCGTTGCCAGTCCATATCACCTCTTGCGTGCTAACGCTGCACAGCTACTAGCGGACGTTGCAGGCTAAGCCTGATGTTTGGAGTTGCACACGACAAAGTACGCGCTATGCGTGCTATCTGGCCTTTTCTGCGCGTTTTTCCGTTTACCTTTCTGTCTTTTGTTATATTTTTTCGCTGGGCCGTGTTTATAATGGGGCGTTCTTGATTACCTACGTTATGCAGGCGCAGTTAACCGAGTGTCGGACCTGGTCGTTAGCGTTGAGTACAATGTAAGTCTTGCACGCAATGTCTGTCAACATCCTCTCCAAATTCTGGTTNTCTTTTGTTATATTTTTTCGCTGGGCCGTGTTTATAATGGGGCGTTCTTGATTACCTACGTTATGCAGGCGCAGTTAACCGAGTGTCGGACCTGGTCGTTAGCGTTGAGTACAATGTAAGTCTTGCACGCAATGTCTGTCAACATCCTCTCCAAA